ATCGCTGGCCGCGGAGGGCGGCGTTTGCGACGCCCGAGGTCACAGCGGCCGCCCCCGGCCCGCCCCGTCGGCCCGCCGCGCCCTAGCCCAGCCCAGCCCCTGCACCCCTGGGACCTGTGTGTTCCTCAGGGAAGGCCTGAGCCCCTCCGCAAAGGGACAGAAGACAGCGTGGGCACGGCCGGAGAAAGGTTTTGTTTAGGTTTTTAAATTTTTAAAAAAGGAAGAAAAAAAAAAACACACTGCAAAAACCACATTCCTGTTTGTAAGCTCATTAGTATGGAAAAACCCACTACCAGGTTTCCCAGCGTGCACACCTGTACCTGGAGACCTCTGCTTGCTTCTCAGTTCACCGAGCCCTACCTCACACACATGCCACGCACCTTTAAGGAAGCTTCTAGTAAGTTCCTGAGTTGTGCAGCTCTCACCATGGTGGGCACTTCAGGAACGCTGTCTGGATTCCTGGAGGAAGCCGCACACACATTATCAGTCGCCCGCACCTCCTCTGCACACATGCTCAGAACCTCCCTCCCCCCTCCCCCCCCTCCCCCTGCCTCCAATGGACACTGTTTTGAGTGGAATCCTGCTATCCGGGTCTTTTACTGTTCCTAGACTTCCGGATGCGCCCATTCTGCACCACCAGACTGTCCGAATCGCTCTCCTGTGTGGCTGTAGCCATCTCTCTCCGCTGTTGATTAGGAAGAAGTGGCACCTCATTTTTGCTCACAGGCCGGGTGGGAATATTTTCCTCTCACTTGAGTGTCCACCTCAGGCAGGAATCAATGAATCACAGGTGGCTACTGTGCTCAAGGTTTTGAAGACAGGCTAGGCTGCTTTCCGAGCGCTCACCTTTGCCTCCGAAGCAGGGGTTCCCGGGAAGGTGCCACAGAGTGCCCGGGGCTGTGGGGTGCAGCTGGCTGGCAGTTAGCAGTTCCTGAGGCGGGAGGAGGCTCGACATCTCTTCCTTGCAGAAATGGTCACCCAGGCACTGTGCCTGCTTTGAATCCGTGACCTCTTTAGTAACCAGAGACTCCCTATACACTTTCCCTGCCAGACACCATCTGCAAAATCCTTAGATACAGGATTCCCAGATTTTGAACCCCTCCACACTCTGTAAGTTTCTATTTTACTTTCCTGTTTTTGTTTTGTTTAGTCCTGAGACAGGGTCTTGCTACGCAGCCCTTTCTAATTTACTATGTAGACCAGGCTGGCCTCCTGTGTGCACCTGGATCACAGGCCCGCAGCACCAGGCTCAGTTAAAACTTTACTCTTTATTTTTATTTCACTGCATCTGTTTGTTTTCCTTTTGTCACAGTGCTTTTTGTGTTATGACTGAGAAACCGCTGCCTGATTCTACTGTCGACTTCTCCTAATAAGCTTTTGTAGTTTTAGCTCATACCCTGAAGTTCTTCATCCACTCCGGCTGAGCTCTGAGCTCTGACCCTTGATCTGCCCGGGTCCCTTTCATCCTTGTGCAGAGGTGGATCCCTGTCCTACAACCACGTGCTGGAAGCAATTCCTTCCCCATGGAGCTGTGGGGGACCCTGCGGAGAATCAGCTGATGCAGAGAATGAATTTCTGTCATGTTAGCCCTTGTTCCAGGCCATGACTGTGTCAACGACTTGCTTTTCAGTGGGTTCCGAAGTCTGAACACATGAGCTGTTTCTTACCACCCTGCTCTGTGCCCTTCACATTTCTACTGGAATTTACGGGTCCCATTGCCAATTTCTGCAAAAAGGACAGCATACGTTTTGCTGGGGAAGGTTCAGAATTTGTCAGTTAATGGGAAATGTTACCTAAGGTTGAGTGTCCCCGGTGTACAAATATGGGCCCCTTTCCACACAATTAGATCTGCTTTCATTTTATTCAACCATGCCTCACAGTTACCAGTAAGGCTTGTGCCCGCGTTAAATTTGTTTTTGAGTATTTGCTTCATTTTTACAACATTGTAAATTGTTTTCCAACTTCATTTTTTTTTTAAGGTATTCACTGCTGGTACATGATGGAATTAAGCTGTTTATTCTTGTGTGCTAATGCCTGTAACTATGCCCCGCCCCCACAGCATACCCTTTATAAAACAAGGAAAGCTTTTCCTTCCAACCAGATGGGCAGACATGGGGAGTAATGATGCCCATGGTTGGTGAATACGAAGAAACCCATGTTCTCACATGTTCCTGTGGGTATAATGGAGGGCGGGACTCCTGGGAGTCAGTTTGACAGTGTAGCCAAAGGCTTGAAATGAGCCTGTCCAGAGCTTTGAAGAAGTGCCTGGGGACACTCACAGAAGAACTGTGGAGATGGGAGCTGAAGAATTTGGACACATCGCACTCAACTTGGCTGAATAAGTGTGCACGTCCGGTGTACAGAGAATGGCATCCTGAGACTGACACTGTGCTCTGCTTCTCACCTCTAACCTCTGTGTATAGGATGAGGCTTAACTAAACGTTACTAAATATTAGCTGCAATACTTAGGCCTACCATGCACTGAGCTGCATCTGCCTACGTGGTCCCCAGGATCCCTGTTGGACCAACTCTGCAGGCCTCCTTGCTGCCCTCATGTGGTAACTTCCAACACTGCAGGCCTCCTTGCTGCCCCCACGTGGTAACTTCCAACACTGCAGCCAGTAGTCCTGACAGCCTAGGGCCGACCTTGTTAATCTCTCTGTTCTCAAAACCCTGTGTGGCTTCCAGTGTCCCAGGACGGAGGGACTGCCGCGTGTGACCTTCTTCCATCCCACCCTCCAGGGCCTTGCCTTCCTTGTCTAGCTCAGTATCCCTCGGGAGGGCATCTTCCAGAACATGGCGCAGCTTTTGCTTTTTAGTTCCATTATAGCTCACTGCTTGTCCCACACACTGGGCTGTGAGGAGACTGGGACTGGAGAGCTGTGTTTCCTTTGGTGAGATATTTTAGTCTCTTAGACTCCACGCCTGGCTCTCAGTAACGTTACTAAATAAACACATGGTGAGTGTTATTTTTTATTGGCCAGAACAGATTTTAAAAATTGTATCTTGGCCTTCTTAAATAACTTCTTGCATTACATAACATGTTGTATAAGTGTTTTTTATTACCAGAATAATATGGAAGATACAGTAGACGTGTAAAGACGTCTGATGTCTTCTTTTTAGTCCCCGTGAGCTGCGGGTTTCTTCTGTACGCTTCTTGAAGTCTCTGACAGCGTTTACTATCCACCCATCAGTCTGCACTCTGACTTTTCTGTACTCCTGGTGCACATCAGTATTGCTCTGTGCTCACAGTGTTTGTGCCGTGCAGTTCCAATGCCGTCTAATTTTCCCTCTAAGAATTCCAGTGTGCGGTCCATGCTTCCATCATCCAACTGACAGAGGGTCGGCTGCTTCCTTTCTTCTTCCCATAGCAAGGCTGTGAAGATCACCCTTGTACACATGGTGTAACTCAACCATATTAAATCAGTAATTGCGGTATTGCTGAAGGCAAGCGGAGTTATGCAAGCCACGCACGTCAATCAGCACAACTCTCCTTATCTGGCGAAATGATCTCGTGAAATATCACCGCTGCTTGGATCCACGACCCGCCCCACCCCCGGCTCAGGGTGTTGTACCTCCATCCTTCCTGGGTAGTTCTGGGTATGTGTTTCCACTGCCCACAGCAGTAGGGGGCGCCCCCCTGTGGGACAAGGAGACACTACTACATACTGGTGATCTCAGCTACCCGATTAACAAGGCAACATGCACACCATCTTCGAGGTGCTCCATGGGAGCACTTCAAGCTGGACTCCTGTCCAAGGTGGAGGAACTATTCAGCTGTGCTGAAAGAAGAAGTTAGCCCCCTTGCTCATCAGAAGGGCCCGGAGCCCACGGCACCACCTGCCCACGAAACCCACAGATGCGAGGGAGAGGCCAGGTGGACACACTCATTGGTTACCAGGCTCTGCAGCCACGAGTTCACCACATACCCTGTCACTCGTGACCAGGCTTTCCACTGATTCTTTGTGGCTCCCAGAGGCTACAAGAAGTCACGCCTCTTGGTTTTCTAGGACGAACTGTAACTGAATGTCTGGCTATCAGCTGCCACGCTCCTGTCTCCGAGGGCCATGTCAGGACCGGACCTCCTTGAGAGTGAACCACGGAGAAGCTGCCCCCACATAAGGGGTCACTGAGGTGGGAACACTGTTCCCACCTGAGGTTCCTGGGAACAAGGAGAAACGCTGACACCGTGGCTGAGATTTCCAGTGTGCTTTGCCTGCAGCTGCGTGACCCTCATAAATGCCGCCACGCCTCAGACTCCAGTGTTTCGACTTGATTTACACAGTCACATTACACTTCTACCATGTTAAGGACCTGTGGAAGAGCCAGATCAGTGTCTGCTTCTAATTTATTACAAGCATGAAGCCTTATCGTGCGCGTCTGCCACATTAAAGTCCTGTCAAAGAACCAGATCATTTATTACAGACATGAAGACTTAGTGGGATTGCTTTTCTGTCTGTGTGTTCTGCATCTGATAGTACGGTTCAATATTTCCATCCTGACTCCTTTTGATGACAGTGCTGAGGGGAGAGACGTGATTATCAAGATCTCGGGAAGGTGGTGGCCTGTGCTGGGCTCAGGGATTGTCCTTCCATGGATGCAGGGTATCGCCAACAGCGGGGAAATGCACTATGTAAGCACGTGTGTGATGTGTGTCTACTGCATAGGTACATATATACACATGTGTCTGTGCACATGTGGTATGTACAGGTGACTAGTGTATGTGTGCCAGTACATGCATGGCTGTGCATATGTGCATAAGGTGTGGTATGCATGTCATATTAATCTATGGTCAGTGGCAACTGTATGTATGTGATGGTATGTGTGTATTCATGTGGTATGTATGTACGTACGTACGTATGTGTGTGTGTATGTATGCACACATGCTTGCGAAGCATGTGTAATATGTGTGCTAGTGAATGTGTGTGCTGTGCATATAGCATATGTGTGTACATACATGCAATATGTGTGCAGGCGGTATGTGGTGTATGTATCTGTGTGCATGTGCTGTATATGCATATATATACATGTATTTTCCTATTTTGAGAAGCAGAATGTGGTGTCCTACAGATAAGTAATACTTAATCATTTTTTCCTCTTCAATGTTTTAGTTTAACTGTTATAAATATCTGGCCCTATATAAGAAAATAATTGAATTACAGATAAATACACTCTACAGGTGTGTGCATGAGTGTGTTACTATCTCTAAATGTGATTTTTTCATGAAGGGTGACCCCTACTGCCATGGTCATCTGTATGGTGTGGTCAGCACCAGGCCTAATGAACTTCCTGTCACATGTCATGGTAGACTGAGGCCGTCAGGGGTCGCTGTGAAGAGCGGGTGGCTTGTGAGGCTGCAGGTGAAGAGGCCGTGTGATGTCGTCCCCCAGCTGTGGTTCCTGTGAATGGGCATTCTTCCTCCTTTCTCCCTTCAGTCTGAGTGGCCCCGAGGAAGGCCACAGCGAGGGTCATGCCGCAGAGGCTGGGGTCAGGGTCACGAGGCAGCCATGTCCCCCCTGCTCCGGA